CAGTGAAAACGGTACTGCTGGAAAGTTGGTCTTGCCATTTAAACGAGATATGATAACATAGTTGTGTTGCTGAGACTGATCTCTGTAAGATATGAGCCCCACAACTTATTATGCAAACATACATTCATTATCATCATTATGACAGTTAATTGATACTAGCAAGATGTTTAAAAAGAGATCAGTAAATGAGATAAAACAGGACATAACTTCTGCTTCATTGCAAAATTTGCATTTAGCTTTGCATGGCTGCATAATAAGAGGCTTCAGGATAAATGCACAATATACAAACCAACTATTCTCACTGACAGACATTAGGTGAGACATTCACAGGATGTGGGGAAAAAAAATTCAAAGACTTCATTCTTGGAAAAACACGGCTTAAAAAGACGTCTCTTGCAGTTCCTTCCCCCCAGTTAATGCCACTCTCCTCAGGCTAAGCAGCTGATTTATTGACAACATGCCACTACGGCTGAATGTTGTAAAAGCAGGGGATTTCTTAGTTCAAACATTTTATGGCCTTTGAGCCACGAGATACAGTGTGGCAAACGGGATGGAGACCTCATGACTGCAGACAGACAGGACAGATGGGCATGCACAGTCCCCCCCACCAACTCTCTCTGTGGGATGCTTTTGTCTGATAAGAGATCACGCACCACACTTGAGTTAAGTCATGTACTCCTCATTGCTTGATGAGCAACACAAGACAATAGGGATGTGTTGTGTATGTGTGTGTATATATATGGATTGATAACTGTTTTTCTTGTGTCTGACGGTGTGTTCAAGTGCATATTTTTTGTTGCATAGCCAGAGTATGAAGGTGTGTGCTGAGCTGGAGGAGACGTATTGTGTCCTTATGAGTGGGTGTGTAGGGTCTGGTTCAAGGCTTTTTAGTACTTCAAGACTAACTCTGCTCCAGGGGACCCTTACTCCACACCCACGCCTCGTTCTATTAAACTCTGGACCACATCAACATTCCTGAGATTAATGTGGACACAAGCCTTATATCTGCTTGTGTACACACACAGTATATTACTGCTGTGAGATACATTTGTTGGCCCTCATGTGGGCGTTAACTCGGGTTATTTGCAGATGCATCTCAGTTGTAAAAGGGAATGACAATAATGTTCTATAACTGAAGTCGCTGCATGGGTAGCCACTACCAGTGATTTGTGCAGCATGTACAACAACCACACTTCACTTGCAGTTGGCTTTAAATGTTCTCAGAAGCCTCAGAGTGACAGTCACTCTTTTGTACACTTAGCGCCAGTCTGATATGTGGGTTGTGTTTTTCTGTTTATGGTTATAGTAACTCAACGTGACAGAAATAAGAGTGCTGTGTCAGTCAAACATTTTGAAATTTCTTCTACCAGGTTTGTATGTGTGTATCTACATATAATGTATGTACAATCCATATGTACAGTCCATATCAATATGTTTTTATATGCTAACATAAACCATGCTAATGTACTTCACTGGTTTAGCATTGCACTTCATTATGGTTTTTTTTTTCCAAAAAGAAAGTGTAGCAGAACCAGAGAGCATATTTTTGTCTTCTTTGTCACAAACCTGTGTCAAAATTACCCACAATGCAACTCAGCCACCTACAGTTCATTCAGAGATTTGACTGCATTATGCTAGTAGCAGCTAGAGTAGCCTTGCGCTGCTAGCTTCAAGCAGAAATGAGGCGTGGGCTACAGGTAGTTCATGCCCCAACATTTTTTACACATTCTTCAGACTCTAACAGATGCTGACTCAAGTAACCTTATATGAAGCAACTTCTCAGACCTCACACAGCTCCCTCTGGAGCTACAAAAGGCTATACAGATCTTTATTTTGCATATGCAGTAGTACTTCCCAAGGGCTGTAAACAGATTTTGATGTGTATATTCAATGTTCCCCTTAAACCACGTCTTTAGTTGGCCAAATTTAACCATACTATACATAAATTTATAGCTTATTTACCATGGCTTCAATCGTCCCTTAGCCTTAAAGAGTGGTTTTACTTACATAATTAAAGGGTAAGACTGCTCATTTTCTATATTAAATGTTTTCAACAGTCCCCATGCAGGGATTAAAACAGATCTCTACTCATTGTCTGTCAGTCCTGAATCAGCTTATTCATCTGTGCCATTGACCTTCATTATTGTTCAAAAACAATTAAACACATCACTGCACCAGGTGACATATTTCTTCATTAGCAAATACCAGACCTGAGCATGATTAGCCTCCAGAATGTAAACAAACCTGATAGCTCACACAAGATCTTGCACTTGCAGTTGACTGACTCATGCTAACTTCAGGAAATTATGGCCACTCTGAGCTTCTGGGGCAATATAGTCAGGTCTGGGGATTTGTAATGAAGAAATGTGTCTCCCAGTGCAGCGGTGTGTTTCCCTTATGTGTTTTTAATTGTTTTTGAACAACGAAGATCTATCATACAGGCGAACAAGCTAATCCGGGACTGACAGCTGACAGACATTAACAGTGAGTCATTTTTTAGTCTGAGTATGAAGATTTCTATTAATACAGAAAATGACTGGCCTTATTCTTTAAACCAAACTGTACATCAACTGTATTAAAGTTGCCACTTGTGGCTGCTGGGGAAAATCTGAAAAATGTTGCCACTGAAAGTTGCAGTGAATGTTCAGTTCAACTGATTTTGGTCACATTATTTGTGATGTTCAAAATTTCAGTGACCAAGTCTTTAGAGGATTTACTTCCACATTGCTTGGTGCTGTTTGTCCATGTGGTCATTTCCTTAAACAGGCATGACAATGTTTTTTTAACTCATAGAAAATTATATAAACATGCAACTGTATTACTATATAAACATGAAATAGATTTACAGGGTATACACATAGTATGCTATGAAGCAATTTTCAAACAAAGGCAGACAAATCATTGGCTTGCATCACACACCTGTGTAGCTGATATACTGTACATTTCTCTCTTCTGTGCAGTATACAGTCGCGTATTGATGCTTCCTCTCTCTCACCCACACACAAACACCTTCTGCCAAGTCCCTAATCGCAAACGTGCTCGATTCCAGTCGACCTGTTTACCCAGAGAGATCAATCCAGCTGATCCAGCAGCTACCAGACCTTGACCTCAAACTAATTCTAACAGGCAGATAGAGCACCTGTAGGAGGACATGCTCACTTTACTGCGTGGCACACATTTATGTTTGCATTTTCATGCACTGTATCTATTTGTGTGGGAAATGTGTGTGTTCAAGAGGTCACTGCGGTGCTACCTTGAACTTCCTCATGTATTAACTGGTCCAGTGCAGCTACACTCAATGTTAGTGAGGTATCATTATGTGTGTGTTTGTGCTCACACACAAACACACATGTGTTAATGGTTGTATACATATTCCACTATGTGTTACGCCTATGCGTGTGTCTGCATGCCTACATGCTGTATATGTTTAAGCTATCAGTATGTGTGATTCTGTATTAGCATGTGTGTGCCACGACCATGGGTTGTAACTCACTCTGACTGCGAGCCGAGGCCCCTGGCAGGGAAAGCTGTGGATCTGGCAGGTCTCAGCAGGGCTCTAAAGCAGCTCTGCAGCCTCAGCTTGGCTCCGCTGGTGGTTGCGGGCCCGTCTCCATGTCACACTGAAGAGGTATTCAGGAGAACTCCTTACTGGGAGGCCTCCAGCAAAAAAAAACAGGACAATGTCAGCATGTCTTATTGTTGGCAGCCATGTTAGCTCCATGATAGGTTCTAGAGCAATCAAGTTGAAAAGCAGCATGGACATTTATGCCAGTTGATGATTAGTAAAGTATCTGCAATTTCCCCCGTGATGAATGGCAGCAAGATGTTATGTTGCTGCAGGCCTGTCAGGTCTGCAGCAGCGTGGCACCTCTCAAATATTAAATCAAACTCTTGTCACTGGCTCTTTAACAGTTTCCAGGCAGAAATCTA